TCATGCAGCTAAATGTAGTGTTTTGAATGAATGACCTAAATGTGTAAATATGACCTAAATGTCCCATATGTCTCTGTGCGTTTGTTGCCTGTCTGTATATTACCTTCTGTGTGTCTCATTTGCCCAGCCACGTCTTCCTCAAACGTCCGTTAATGTCTCTTTCTTTTACTCATGGCGTCTTTCAATGTCTTTTGTCTCAAAGTGTCCAATGTCTTTGCCTCAATGCCTTTTTTCTTCTTCTTTAAACAATCACTTTCTTTCTTCTTCTTCTTTTCAACAATCTTCTTTTCAATCACTTTCTTCTCCTTTCAATCTTCTTCTTCTCCTTTGCGACGCACACAAATGTGTCGTGTCCTTCTTCTTCTTATTAGGTTTTCCGGCGGTTGGCGGCCTTATTTTTCGCATTACCGCCACCTTCTGTTCCGTAGATGGGTCAACACTCAGTTTGTGAAAAGTCTGCGGTCTTTTCTTTGCCTCCTCACAGGAATGAAGGCAGGAGAAGTCTTCTTCGAGAGTTCCTGTTAGCTGCTGCAGCCGATGCTGCTGTCTTTGCTGCCCCCTGTGGGTCTGGGGGAGACGCTGATGATCCGTGTTGATGGCGCTCGATTGAGGTCTTGTGGCAGACGATTTTGGCCAAATGAAACAGACAGAAGTTTTCTCTGAAAAAACAGACAAACAAGAAACACAAACAAGTGTGTTAATTACTATACAAAACCAATGATTAATTACAAATCTAAATAAACCTATGAAATAATTAATATTAACATTTTAAACATTAGATTCTGAAAACCGAATTCAGCATTCAACTGCTATCCTGAGCCCTATTTTTCCAAAAGTATAATGCTCTCTCAGATCATTCTAACTTTTATATCACCAAAATGTAGGGAAAAAATGTTTAATAACTTGTCCAGACGCCTCGGAGATAAAAATAAAATAATGCCTCTTTATAATCTAACTCAAAGTTCTGTGATCCTAGTGACTCCATGTCAGTAACATTATTGTGTATATAAATGTAATTGGTAATAGTTCTTTCTTCACGAGAGAGAGAGAGAGAGAGAGAGAGAAGACAGAAAGAGGGAGGGGAGGGGCTGAGTGGCTTCTCGAACAAAGGAAACTTGGACGATTGAAATACACCCCCTTTTGTTACATTTTCCTCGTTTTTATCGTGACAAGGTCTTAATCAGTAGTAAAAGTTTTTCTCACGTCAAACGACACTTTACATTTTATCCTTAAATACGTCAGTAATGGAAAACATTACAATTTGCTTACATGACCAATGCATCACTAGGTACAGCCGGATCTTTTCCGTAATACCTCTGTAACTATTGAAACATTACATCAGAATAAGAGAAAAACTTCCATAACTGATCATTCTGGTCATTTCTTCACATGGAAACTCGTATTTACAGCCAAGTGGCTCTCTTTTTTTCTCATTAATCAGATCGTTAGTATCAGAATCCACATTTTAAATACTTGGCTTTTTTCTGTTTAAATTAATTGTACCCTTTTTCCCGCCCCCCGGGGGATATAGAAGGTTTTATTATCCTATAACTTCTGACCCTAAAGCTGTCCCTATTTCTCTAATTCTATTCCTATTTTTTTTCTAATACACTTGTGCCTCTCTGCACTTTAAGAAGGTGTGCCTCTTTTGCACTTCTAAACCCTGTGGACCTCTCATCTATGTTCTGTTTTATTTAAGGAGGGACCCATTCTTCCCCCAAGGCTAAAAACGTCTAAACCTGACTATTGTTCTATCGCTTCCGATAGAACACCCATCACGGCGGTCTGGCCACGCTGCAGTCCGTCGAGCCGAATTCTCTCTCTCTCTTCCATTTAAAACAATGTGCAGATTTTCAAAAGTACGATCCGCTTACCTCTTTCAAAGAGAAGAGAGAATTTTCCCGGCCGACGGACCCAGTCTATAGCTGAGCTCATCTTGCGTCTTCTTTCTGTATCAAATCACGTCAGGGGTCACCATTTGTGGGCCAAAAAAAAGATTTGACTGACGTGTTCAAAATTTGGTACAGAAAATCAGACAAAGATTCTCCAAGTTTAACATCTGTATTTAATTTATCTTGACAATCAGATACAGAACATTCAAACAAAAGAGAGCTCCTAAAACTATGCTATGCTGTCCCTCTCTGGCCCTGCGCTCACTGACTCCAAGCCTCCAGCCCAAACATATAAAAAGCAGATGTCCAGGAAGAAGGGGGCGTGTCGTATCAGGCAGCTTCCGGTCCAGGGTCCGGCCTTTTCCTTCGTCTCGCCAAACCTAAAACAGAAATCATTCACACACACACTACCCCTCCCTAATTCTATAGAAATATTACTTCCTTGAGATAAGACAAGAGGCTTTTCAAGGTCCACCTCCTTCTTCAAACAACGAAAGGATTAGCAGAATCCCCCCAGATTAACTATCATTAACTCATATTTCTGCACTTTTGGACTACCAAGGAACAAGGGGAGACCAGGTCTTTTTGCTTGGGAAAGAGACAGAGTTCAATTCCGGGTCAATCAAATTCACATCTGCTTTTAGTCTATATTTAAAACAACAGTACCCAGAAACAGCCCCAAAATCACATCTTTCAGAATTGTAAAATCAATAGTTCAAACCAAACAGCTGTAGCTCATCAAAGTGACAGCGGTGCTAGCACGGCCTGGACCCTGACACTGCGGCGCTAACGCAAAACAAAGTTACACCAAACTCTCAGAGGAGATCGAGCCGACACATGCACCGTCGTTATACAAGAGGTTTTCATTCATACAATGTTTAATTTCCATTACAAAGACAAATTAGCTAGTTTTCCTGCGGAGTTCCATACGAATACAATCCAAAGGCTCTGAGGATAAAGCAGGAAGCAGTAATTAAACGGACTCTAAGATTGGCATTAGGGCTGAAACAACTAATCGATTAATCGACGACTAATCGATTATTGAAATAGTCGACAACTATTTTAGTAATCGATTAATCGTTTTCTGGTTCACACGGACTCAAACAGAGCAAAAATGACATGAAAATGTAGTATTTTTGATTAAAACCGACTTTGTTTTTATAATTTCATGAATATCTGTGTCTCATCCAATCAGAGCAGAATTAGCACAAAGAGCCTGTTACAAACATTAAGTTTACGCCTCAATACGTCCTCGAGTGTTGCCACTTTAGCTTTTTGTGATGAAAATTTTTTTTTTTTCTACACAATTCACAGCCAAGCGATTACTCGATTAATCGTAAAATAATCGATAGATTAATCGATTACAAAATAATCGTTAGTTGCAGCTCTACTTGGCATCATTGATCACAAACGTGTAAATGTAGAGCAGCAATCAAAGCTAACCTCAAAGTGACTGGTCCTTGTGAATGTGTCCACTGTTGATTTCTCTGTGTTCTGAAGTGGAAACTTTCCAAAGAAATCCGTCATGAATGATCAATGACCTGACATTGGCTCTGAGAGGATTCAAAGGTGCTGTGTGGACTGCTGATACTGTGGACAACAGGCTGCTCACTTCTTCTTCTACCAATTACAGCGTGTAGCCTCAGGGTCAGAGCACAGAGCCTCCGCAGATCTCACAACTTTGATACAAAAACAGGTTTGTGCTTTTTTCAAATAATTATCTTTGAAAGTGAGTGTTCTGCCGTTGTGTTATTTGCTGTGGAAATAACTTAAGATTCCAAATTCATAACACAAACCGTTTGTTCTGGGGTCGTCTCTCGATCAGTGGCCTCCAGTACATCCCTCTCACAGTCAGAAATCTCACAAGACATTAAGGACATCAAGGGCCAAGCACATTCTGTCTCTGGGGCTTTGGCAGCCTTCCCTCAGGACAGATGTGGGCTCTTTGTCTCATAAAGTGCAGATGACTTGTGCCGTGACGCTGCTGCCTATGGATTCGGTTTTAATGGTGGACTCCGCTGAGCTGCTTCTGGGAACAGAAAGGTGTCATGTTGACTTAACACACTGGTCCCAGCTGAGAGAAAGAGAACATGCCTTTCCAGGTTAGAGTTGGTGTGCAGAAGAATTAGACGATGTTCAGAAAAGAAGAAGCTTTCTAGTAGAAATAAGACCAAAAGTATATGTTTTTGTCATGTTTGGAGGTTCCAGGCATTGTTTCAGCACCATGGCCAGCGATACATCCGCCGCCTATGACTTTATAGATGAACATGGATAAGTCTCTGGCTCAGTGTGAAGTGCTGCTGCTGATTTACAACGGAAAGTAAACTCCTCCAGCTCTTTGACCGTTCTTCTCAAACTAACCATTTTGAGTTTTGAAAATCCGTTCTCAACCAATCAGGATGTTTCTGTCACCAAACCTGGCTTTAGATTGTGAGCGGGGAGAGTGGGGAGAGACCGGCACGGAACTCAGCCTGTTAAAGCTAGCTCTAGTAGGCCTCTTCCACATAAACGCTAACACTGTACGTAGAGTTAAGTCGGTTCACTCTAACATACCGTGTACACAGATCTACATTTGGTTTTACTTTTGTGTGACTTGCTTATTATAAAACACAGTTGAAGGATTACTTTGATAACACTGTAATCTTCTATGATTTAATGATATTGCACATGCATTGGATGTGGCATTGTGTGAGTCTGTACATTATGTTGTATGTTATGTACTGTATAAAAAAACTAAAGTTTCACTGAGAGCAGATCATTTGTTGCGTCTCAAACACGATCATGACCAAAGCCGTGAAGCAGAACGAGGCTGTATTCAAAGTGTTCTCTGGAAAACACCAAGAAGACAATGTTCATAATGTTCACACAAAGAGAGTATTGGAGCATGACAGAACAGTGAAATGGGTAAATGAATGTTAAATCAAAATGCAGTAATGGGTTCAAAGGCAGCTGCATAAGAAACTAAAGTGTCCAGTCCGTTTGTACAGTAAGTCTTAAATCTGGATGAAGTCCTGCCGCTCTTTGTAAGCTCACAAATGTTCTTCCTTTTGTCTCTTTTGGCCGATGCTTAAAATGAGCTGCTCTGTTGTTGCTGTTTGATCAGAGCTGATGTGGACTGAGGCCGCAGACGCCACAGACGCCACAGAGCTGCACACTCACAACCTGCCGCTCAGACCAACTCTACTGGAGTGTCTGGACCCTGGCAGACACACACTGGCTCTAATGTCAGTGTGTGTCTTGCCCAAGGACACAACAACAGCAGAAATTTCTTCTTCTTCTTCTTATATTTTATTTCGGTCACTTGTGCATTTTACACATCGCCAGGATAGTAAATTAATAACATCAGTGGGAGTCGGTGGAGAAAGTCTCGCGGTGGACTCGAACCCACGACCTTCAGGCCCAAAGTCCAATGCTCTACACACTGAGCCTTTTTGTTCTACTGCTTTAAGCCCTGGGAATAAAAGCTGTGATGTATTTGTGTGAACGAGGCTGATGTTGGGACATATTTGTTACTAGTGACATTTACAATTATTTATATTGATTATGAATAATAAATTATGAAACATTTAGTACATTATTTGATTTGTTAATTTCTAAATCCTTTGGCGAGCTACCTGGGAGGGGGTGGCGAGCTACTTGTGGCTCCTGAGCTACAGATCGGAGACCCCTGAGTTAGACCATCGATAAAAGGATGAAGCTGATGCATAGAACACTTTAGGATTACGGTGGCTGAGTGAATAGCACTCTCGCCTCTCAGCAAGAAGGTCCTGGGTTCGAATCCCTGTTGGACCAGGGCCTTTCTAAGTGGAGTTTGCATGTTCTCCCCGTGTCTGCTCCGGTTTCCTCCGGGTGCTCCAGTTTCCCCTACCACTAAAAATATGTACAATAGGTATGGCATGTGCCTCCTGTACTGGCCCCGCTCCCAAAAATAACAATTGTAAGATAATTTATCTCTCAGAGGAGCAGCCCTGGACTCTGTGGAGAGGGTGCGAGCCAAACCGCTTTGAGACTCCAATGTGCAGTGAAAAGGCGGTATATAAATAAAGATTACTTACTTACTTTAGGATTACAACTCTTAATCCACAGTAATCCATAAAGTGCACACAGTAAACAGTGTCTGTGAAAAACTGACTGACACAATCCAAGTGACAGCATCAGTCAGAACACTCGCCTCAACAATCATGGAGCCACAGTCGCTCCATGACACATGAATATTATGTGAATTTAATTGAAAGTTCAAGTAAAGGCTGTTTTGAGTCTATGACCTGACATTCCCAAACCTGGTGTGAGTGCACTGAAGCACCATGTGTGGCACACCAGAAACCAGACCATGAAGGCTTCGAGAGGTCCATTAAAGCGCCTCAACAGCGAGCTGCCGTCTCCCGTGGTCCAGACTTTATCTCTGTTAACTGTGTTCTACTGTTCTTCATGAACGCCTCTGTTTCTGTCCAGACCAGGTTTAAGAAGATCTCCAACTACACCACTCCAAGCCCCGACCGCGCTGATCAGCAGGTGGTTTTCAGGTCAACACTCCCCCCCCCCCCCCTCCCTGCTAACACGACACCTCCACCTCCTCACACCCCCCCCTCCCCACCCGGACCTCCCTCCCATGAATCCACAGGCCCAGACGACGTCTCTTCTGCCACATTGGGACAGTGACATTTCCATGGTCTTCCTGGAGTCCCGACATGTCCCGACCCGTTTCTCCACTGAAGCTCTGCACATCTTTGCCTTTCTCACAAAAACAATGTGTGTGATTTATTGAGCTGCACAAGAAGAACCGTGTGAAGACTGTGACGCTCAAAGAAGAACAAAAAGAAGAGAGAGTAAAACATAAACGACGTCGCTGTAGAACTCCTGCTCCCACTGTGGCTCTTTCTGGTTCATTTCAATTTACGTTACTCTTGTATCGCCCTGAATCACAACAGTCGTTTTCTTGGAGGACACAACAAAACTGCTGATTTCACCAACACAGATTAGAGAATCAAACAGTTCAAACCCGGGAAATGCAAACAGAACCTGCCACAAAAGAACCACCTTTTAATCCACCTTCTGCATTTGTTTTTGTCTGTGAAGAATGAAGATCTACAGACTGGACCTTGTTCAGCCATTTTGTTTTGGAGCAGAGACTCGGGCAGATGGAAGTGTTGTTCTGTGAGGGGGAAATGAACCCAGTGTGAGTGAGAGTATGTGCTTCACTCTAAGCACGGCTAAATTTCTGCAAACTACAGAAGAATAAAGCTTTATTGGCAATTTATGGCACCTCCAGCGAGAAAATGGACTGGAATTACATTTGCCTTCTTGCTGAGGAGAAAGAAGCTGCACTCAGGAGAGTCTGACTCATTTTGGCGTCGATGGAGCCGGGACACGATCTCTACTTTCCACACCATTTGTTGCAGATATTTTCATCACACGGCTTTCTTATTTTTGCTCAGGAGTCCACAAAAGAGCTGAGAAAACAATTATCTCTGAAATCATAGTGTTCATGGTGCAACATTTGCATTTTTCACTCAGAAATATATTCTTTCCATGTCCTTATTTTCAAAATGGAGAGAATAAAATCCATCCAAACCATGCAGCGATGTCAGATTCAGATTCATTGTATTAGCCATGTGCAGTATAAAAACTACATTGGAATACATTTGCAGAGAAAGGTACTCTGTGTGCACCGACAGAATAAAAAGCACGATACAATGTAATATAAAATACAAATACACTGAATATAAAATAATAAAAAAACAGCTGACACTGTGGCACCGATCAACAAAACGATACAAGGGGTAAAAGCAGGAATTAAAGTTCTCTGTTTAGGCACCTAACAGCCTGTGGAAAGAAGCTGTTAGCATAGCGAGATGTCGTGCATCTCAGCGACTGATATCTTCTGCCAGAGGGAAGAAGCTGGAACATGGCTTTCCCAGGGTGGCCAGAAGAGTCATTAACAATCCTAAGAGCTTTGTTTAAAAGTCTGGATTTATAAAGAACCTCCAGAACAGGAAGCTCACAGCCCACGGTCCTCTTTGCAGAGCGGAGCACCTTGTTTAAAGCTCTCTTTTCTTCATCTGTGATGTTTCCAAACCACACAGACACAGAACCAACAAGTAAACTCTCAATGGTGCAGCCATAAAAGTTAAGCACAATCTTAGAGTTAGTGGTAAATTCTCTAAGTTTCCGCAAAAAGAAGAGCCGCTGACGAGCTTTCTTAACGACTCGGTCAGTGTTTTTAACCCATTTCAGGTTAGACAGAGTTAAACCCAGAAACTTGCTCCTCTACGATCTGCACCTGGGAGTTGTCAATAACAACAGGAGTGTGAGAACTGCTACGACTGAAGTCGTAGACCAGTTCACATGTTTTGGATGCGTTCAACTGGAGGTTGTTAGTTTGACTCCACTGAACCACATTTTGTATCTCTGCTCTATAAGAGGATTCATCAGTGTCACTGATGAGACCGATGATGGTGGTGTCATCAGCATATTTGATGATCAAGTTAGAGTCAGAGGAGGACACACAATCGTGAGTGTACAAAGTAAAAAGCAAAGGACTCAAAATACATCCCTGAGGAGAACCAGTGCTCACAGAAACAACATCTGAAAAACACTCTCTGAGATCTGTCAGTTAAAAAGCTAAAAATCCATTTACACATGGCAACATTCAGACCAAGGGACATTAGTTTTTCAACCAATATGCTTGGGACAGGGCAGTTAAAAGCAGAGCTATAATCGATGAAAAGCATTCTCGCGACAGATTTACTAGTGTCCAAGTGACTGTAGACAGAGTTCAGAGCAAAGGAGATGCATCCTCCACACTCCTGTTCTGTCTGTAGCAAACTGGAGCGGGTCAACACTCACAGGGATCTGGCTCTTAATGAACTCCAGCACAAGCCGCTCAAAAGTTTTCATAAGAACAGACGTGAGGGCCACAGGACGATAGTCATTCAGGCATGTCACAGGAGTTTTCTTAGGAACTGGAATAATGATGGACCTTTTAAAGCTCACCGGCACCGTACAGCTCCTGAGTGACAAGTTAAAGATGTCCGTTAAAACAGGGGCAAGTTGCTCGGAGCACAGTTTCAGGACGCGGGGAGGAATGCAGTCCGGGCCTGCGGCTTTCCGAGCTGTTTCACAAAGATATAATGTTGTTATTTTGCCTTTTCTCATAGTCTTTGTGACGGTGGACTCTTTGAAGGTTGAACTTAAATAAAACATTGTGAAGATCTCATAGAAAATGATCAATTTGTTCAGTACTTTTGAGGTGTAGTTATTATTGCTATTATTATTATTTAACTTCACATTATTCTGGTGAATATGCTTTTTCTTTACACTTCACTAAGTCATGTTTCTGTCTCGGGGTGAGATGAGTGAGGACTCAAACGCAGGAATGCCAAAACAAGGATTTAATAAAATAAAGTCCAAGGCAAAAAACAGAACTCCAAAATCCAAAGTTACAGGAACAGGACAGAAGTGTATCACCTGCTGAGATACAAAACTGCAACTAGTTTTCAGATTTAACAGTTCTTTATTCCTGAAGTGTGTGTAGATGCGATCTAAAGCCAAGGGCCGCTAGAAAAATCATGTTTCACAAAAAATTAGAAATCCATCCTAAATTAGGCGCAGCCTCGTGTCACACGTCCATCATACGTGCGTATAACACTAGTGTAAATATCACCATTGGTTACATGTACAAATGTTACAGCACGTCTACTGTGCGTACAACGCGTACTGTACATGCTGTAACGCGTCCTGTACATGCTGTAACGCGTACTGTACGTGCTGTAACGTGTACTGTACGTGCTGTAACGTGTACTGTACGTTCTGTAACGCGTCCTGTACATGCTGTAACGCGTACTGTACGTGCTGTAACGCGTACTGTACGTGCTGTAACGTGTACTGTACATGCTGTAACGCGTACTGTACGTGCTGTAACGCGTACTGTACGTGCTGTAACGTGTACTGTACATGCTGTAACGCGTACTGTACGTGCTGTAACGTGTACTGTACATGCTGTAACGTGTACTGTACATGCTGTAACGCGTACTGTACATGATGTAACGCGTACTGTACATGCTGTAACGCGTACTGTACGTGCTGTAATGCGTACTGTACATGCTGTAACGCGTACTGTACATGCTGTAACGCGTACTGTACATGCTGTAATGCGTCTTGTACATGCTGTAACGCGTACTGTACATGCTGTAACGCGTACTGTACGTGCTGTAATGCGTACTGTACATGCTGTAACGCGTACTGTACATGCTGTAACGCGTACTGTACATGCTGTAATGCGTACTGTACATGCTGTAACGCGTCCTGTACATGCTGTAACGCGTACTGTACATGATGTAACGCGTCCTGTACATGCTGTAACGCGTACTGTACATGATGTAACGCGTACTGTACATGATGTAACGCGTACTGTACATGCTGTAACGTGTACTGTACATGCTGTAACGCGTACTGTACATGATGTAACGCGTACTGTACGTTCTGTAACGCGTCCTGTACATGCTGTAACGCGTACTGTACGTGCTGTAACGCGTACTGTACGTGCTGTAACGTGTACTGTACATGCTGTAACGCGTACTGTACGTGCTGTAACGTGTACTGTACGTTCTGTAACGCGTCCTGTACATGCTGTAACGTGTACTGTACATGCTGTAATGCGTACTGTACATGCTGTAACGTGTACTGTACATGCTGTAACGTGTACTGTACATGCTGTAATGCGTACTGTACATGCTGTAACGTGTACTGTACATGCTGTAATGCGTACTGTACATGCTGTAACGTGTACTGTACATGCTGTAACGTGTACTGTACATGCTGTAATGCGTACTGTACATGCTGTAACGCGTACTGTACATGATGTAACGCGTACTGTACATGATGTAACGCGTCCTGTACATGCTGTAACGCGTACTGTACATGATGTAACGCGTACTGTACATGCTGTAACGCGTACTGTACATGATGTAACGCGTACTGTACATGATGTAACGCGTACTGTACGTGCTGTAACGTGTACTGTACATGATGTAACGCGTACTGTACATGCTGTAACGTGTACTGTACGTGCTGTAACGTGTACTGTACGTGCTGTAACGTGTACTGTACGTTCTGTAACGTGTACTGTACGTTCTGTAACGTGTACTGTACATGCTGTAACGTGTACTGTACGTTCTGTAACGTGTACTGTACGTTCTGTAACGTGTACTGTACGTTCTGTAACGCGTACTGTACGTGCTGTAACGTGTACTGTACGTTCTGTAACGTGTCCTGTACGTGCTGTAACGCGTCCTGTACGTGCTGTAACGTGTACTGTACGTGCTGTAACGTGTACTGTACGTTCTGTAACGTGTACTGTATGTGCTGTAACGTGTACTGTACGTTCTGTAACGTGTACTGTACGTTCTGTAACGTGTACTGTACGTGCTGTAACGTGTACTGTACGTGCTGTAACGTGTACTGTACGTTCTGTAACGTGTACTGTACGTTCTGTAACGTGTACTGTACGTACTGTAACGTGTACTGTACATGCTGTAACGTGTACTGTACGTGCTGTAACGTGTCCTGTACGTGCTGTAACGTGTACTGTACGTTCTGTAACGTGTACTGTACGTTCTGTAACGTGTACTGTATGTGCTGTAATGCGTACTGTACATGCT